AACATAAAGCAGCAAAACGGGAGACTAACACCCAGGAAGGGCTCAGATTAGTACCAGGAATTTTGCTCCATGACTTGAAGGCCAGCCACATGTGCTAGGTGAGAAGGAAGCTCAGATAGAGAAGAGAGCACCAAATAAAGGGTGTTGTGAAGACCCTCCCAGGGTGGGAGAGACATGCTAAAAGTGGTCTATAGACCAAACATGACTGCCACTCAATGCCTCTCTGGCAAAACACAGTACCCAAAAGAAGAGAGAGAGAACAGGGAGGAATGCCCTGCCACAGCGGCAGGGTGGGACGGGGGGGTGGGGGGGAGGATGGGGGGTGGGAGGGATGCTAGGACCCGTGGTGGGGGAGGATGGGCACTGGTGGAGGGATGAGTACTTGATCATTGTATAACTGAAACCCAAGCACAAAAATTTATAAGTCTATAAGTGTACTTCATGGTGTTTCACTAATAAAAAAAATGATTAATAAAAAAAAATAAAAAAAATAAAAAAAATAAGACAAAAACCTATCAGTAACAAGACTGTAAATCATAGTGTAAAAACTTATTAAAAAAAATCAGCCTTCCTAGAGGCAGACTGGTGGGTGGAGGCAAATGGGGGAGGAGGCATTGGTGGAGGGAAGTCTACAATGGTGAAGAGCCTGGTGTGGAAACATCGGAAACATTCTGGAAACCCAATCACAAATAACTTTGTAATTTCACAGTTTCCAAATGAAATAATATTTTTAATTTTGTACATGAACCCTGGACCCCAAGTATGCCCACTGAGAATAATATCTAAAACTTGCTTCTACCCACCAAATCTATGATATTCTTAGTTATGTAGATCTGAGAGAGTTGCTTGAGTTATTTGTGCCTCAGTTTCCACATCTGTACTTCATAAAGTTGTTACAAAGAACAAATAAGATACTTATAGAATCCTTCACAGGAAAAATGAGACACAGTGCTAAAATTATTTTATGATCAGTTCATGTTCGTGGCTAGAGCAATAGCACAGCGGTAGGGCGTTTGCCTTGCACGACCCTCCACCCCTCTCAGAGAGCCTGGCAAGCTACCAAGAGTCTCCAAACACAGTAAAAAGAAGTCTCAAAATGGAGACATTACTGGGCCCGCTTGAGCAAATTGATGAACAACGGAAGGACAGTGCTACAGTGCTACAGTTCATGTTCATAAAGGAAGGAAATGAAGACAATGTTCTATGTTATATATATTTTGGGAAGGAGTGAAAAAGAAAAAAACTATTATTCTCTCCCAAATATCCAAGAATAGAATCCAAGCTTCAAAATCAAAATTCAAAAGGCAGAGGAACTCCCATCCACTGCTGCTGGTAATGATAGTTGGTTCAGTCCCTCTGGAAAACAGCATGGAGAGTTCTCAGTGAACTTACAATTGTACTGTCATATGACCCAGCAAGTCCATGGTTTGGCATCTACAGTCAGGACAGAAAAATATTCATTCAAAAGGAAATATGCATACCATTATTCATTTCAGGCACTTCAAACAATAGCCAAGATATGAAATCAACCTAGGTTATCACAGAGAAATGGATTATGAAGATGTGTTATGTATATAGCACTGTCCTCCCATTGTTCATCAATTTGCTTGAGCAGGCACCAGTAACATCTCCATTGTGAGACTTGTTGTTACTGTTTTTGGCATATCAAATACGCCATGGGGAGCTTGCCAGGCTCCTCCATGTGGGTGGTATATTCTCGGTAGCTTCCCGGGCTCTCTCAGAGGGACAGAGGAATCAAACTCAGGTTGGCCACATGCAAGGCATAGTACAGTTTGAAATTGAGAAAGATGATGTTTCCAATCTTCTTTTTCCCAAGGATTGCTTGAGGTATTTGTGAAGGTTTATTGTTCCATATTCAGGTCTCCCAAAGAAGAATAGAAAGAGCTATGCTTGGAATATCACGTTTCACTCAAATGAGAGAAAGAATCCGGAGTTCTGACATCCGTCGACGATCAAGGATCAGGGACGCTGTCTCATTTGCCAAGGTGTCGAAAATCAGATGGGCTGGTCACGTAATGAGATTTAAAGACGACCGTTGGACCAGAGCTGTTACTGACTGTATTCCACGGGATGTCAAAAGATCACGTGGCCGCCCACCTACCAGATGGTCAGATTTCTTCGTCAAGATCATGAACAATCGGTCTGAGGCCCTTCATGTTCCCGGAGCGAACAGATGCCATTGGGCTACACTAGCACGCGACAGGGACAAATGGAGACGTTACTGGCGCCCGCTCGAGCAAATTGACGACTAACGGGAAGTTAAGTGATTAAGTGATTAAGTGATTGTTCCATATGAATTTCAGGAGTATTTTGTCTATTTCTTTGAAAAATGTGATGGGTATCCTATAAGGACCACACTGAATCTGTATAAAGCTTTGGGGAGTATTGCCTTTTTGACAATGTTAATTCTCCCAATCCATGAAGAGGGGGTGTGTTTCCATTTCCTCGTGTACTCTTATTTCTTGAAGTGGCGTTTTGTAGTTTTCTTTGTATACATCATTTACCTCCTTAATTAAGCTGATTCTAAGGTACATGATTTTCTGCAGCAGAACTATGAACAGGATTGTTTTTTATTATCACTTTCTTCTCTGTCATTATTTGCATAAAGGAAAAACATCAACTTTTGGGTACTGATTATGTAATCTGCCTCTCTACTACACTTACCTATTGTTTTTAGGAGCTTTTTGTAGAGACTTTAGGGTTTTCTAAATACAGTATCTTGTCATCTGAAAATAGAGCTTGACTTTTTCCTTTCCTACCTGGATGCCCTCAGTATCTTTTCTCTTGCCCAAATGCTGTGGCAAGTACTTCCAGTACTATATTGAATAGTAGCAACAATAGTGGGTAACCTTGTCTTGTGCCTGGCCTTAGAGGGAAAGTCTGTGGTTTCTCCCCCTTAAGAATAATGCTTGTTGTGGGCTTTTGGAAGATGGCTTTGACTCTGTTGAGTACATATAGTATATTAGACTATATTGAAGTTCCTTCAACTGCCATTTTGTTGAGATTTTTTTATCATGAACAGGTGCTGGATCTTGTCAAATGCTTTCTTTGCATCTATTGATATGATCATATGGGTTTTTAAAATTGATATGATAGATTATGTTGATTGACTTGCGAATGTTAAAGCATCCTGACATCCCTGAGTTGATTCCCTACTTGGTCGTGGTGTATGATCTTTTGGATGAGTCACTGGAGTCTATTTGTTAGCATTTTGTTGAGGATCTTTGCATCGTGTTCAACAGAGATATCAGTCTGTAATTTAATTTTTTTGTGGTCTTTCTGTCTGCTTTTGTTATCAGGGTGATATCTGCTCACAGAAACTGTTTGCAACTGTATCTGTTTCTTAAATTTCCTGGAAAAGCTTGAAAGGGATTGGCAGTAGATCCTCTTTAAAGGTTTGAAAGAATTCACTAGTGAATCCATCTGGGTCTGGGGAAGTTTTGGGGAAGACTTTTAATTACCATTTCAATTTCCTTGATCATGATAGGTCTGCTTAGGCATTCCAAAACTTCTTGGTTCAGCCTTGAAAGGTTTTAAGAATGCAGGAATTTATCCATTTCTTCAAGTTTCTCTTGTTCCATGCCATAAAGATTTTCAAAGTAATCTCTGAAGATCCTATGGATTTCTGCATTTCTGTTGTTATGTGTGTGTGGATATATATATACATATATATATATACACACATACATATATCTGTATCACTGCCATCCTGCTGTTCATCGATTGCCTCGAGCAGGACCCAGTAACATCTCCTTCGTCTTAGCCCTGAGATTTTAAAAAGTGCCACATTCAAGGCTCTTTCAGTGTCAAGAGAATGAGCCCCATCATTGTTACTGGTTTTTGGGATATAGAATACGCCACGGGGAGTTTGCCAGAGTCTCCTGCCTCCGCGCCTGGCTGTCCTCACCAGGGCCCCTTGAAGGAGGGTGGGTTGAGTTTCCCTCCCCACCCCGAGCAGAGCCCTGGCAGTTGAAGATCTCTATAATAAAGCAACAACCTCAATTTAAATTTATAATAATGGCATATGACAAGATTAATGTCGCAATCTCAGACCACTGACAAAAGTCACAGCCATGCTTAAGACCATTCTCCACATGTTCAGATGAACCTCATGCATGAAGGAACTGGCAGAGGAACCCAGGTGTGCGGGACCTGGGGCGTAGATCTCCAAGCCTGCTCGGATTGGGACTGGGGCCTCTTCTACCCAGATCCCCATCTTCTAGTGTGTAGGTGTTATATCCACCAATTGCCCCTGGGACCGTGTAATCCCATGTAATATATAAATATAAATATATATATATAATGGAATATCATGCAACTTTCAAGGAAAGATGAAATAATGCAATTTTATACAACCTGGTTGGAACTGGAAGATATGTTGAGTGACATAAGCCAGTTGGAGGACAAACACAGGATGATCTCACTTGTCAGTGGTATGTAGAATAACTGTATGAGGAAATGTAATGTAGTAAAGGGGGGGGATGCCTAGATCAGTCTTGACCACAAAGTAAGTATAAGGAAGAGAATGGCAAAGAAGGAAAGAAATCAAGGGAAGAAGGAAGAAGAGAAAGGGAAGTAATGGGGAGCAGGGGTCTGGGATCTCAGTTATACTTGTGATGTGGGAGAGTGGTATAGTTATAAATACAAAGCAACAGACTCAACAACACTGAAAATACAAGATCTAAACAACAATCACAGAACTTTGAAACATACTGTCAATGTAGGAGTGGGGTGGGGGAGGGGAAGGAGGGACCTTCATGGGAACAATGGTGGAGGGAAGTTGACACTTGTGGTGGGATGGGTATCAAAATATTGCATGATTAAAACCCAATTGTTAATAACTTTAGAAATCATGTTTTTAAATTAAATTTAAATTTTTTAGACAAGATGAAATAAAAGTTAAGTTTTAAAACGCAGATTGTTAAATTTAAACTTTTATTTAAACTGTTTTAAATCAAAATTAGCAGCAGAACTCTTACCTATCATTTTCTTCTTCATCTCCAATGCAACTTTCAAAAAGAGAGTCTCCAAGTTGTCCAACCAGAGTTTCGTGGCCTTTCCTGCTGGGTGTGTGGTATATTCGAGAAGCCAAGCTCAAATGAAGTGGCAGCTGGTGGGCTGGGAAAGTCTTGCACAGCACATGAAGGGTAGGAAGAGTGTGTCCTCCTGGAATTCTGCAATCGAGAAAAGAAAATAGGCTTCTTTATCTTCCTGTAGTCATTGGCTCTCAATGCAGTTACAGTGACAAGCCTAAAAAAGATGCCTAGGGGAAATAACAATAGTACAGCAGGTAGGGCATTTGCCTTGCACACAGTCAACCCAGGTTCAATCCCTGGCATCCCGTATGATCCCCCTAGCACAACCAAGAGCAATTCCTGAGTGCAGAGCCAGAAGTAACCCTTGACCATCACTGGATGTGTCCCAAGGGAAAAAAAAAGAAGAAGTCTAAAGAAGCCAGAGAGATAGCTTAAAGGGCAGAGAGCATGTTTTGCTCACAGTAGGCCCAGATTTTATCTATGTCATTGCATGGTTCTCTGATCATTGATGAAAGTAATCTCTGAGCACTACCAGTTGTGCCCCGACCCCCATTCCACAAAAAAGGAAATAAGAAGAAAATATCCATTCATTAAAATAGATATCTAAATGTTGGCAAACAATTTAAATCTACAATAATGGCAAATGACAAGATTAATGTCACAATCTCAGACCACTGACAATAGTCACATATCCAACTGCCTGCTAAAGATCTCAACCTCCGGGAACTAGAGCGATAGCATAATGGGTAGGGCATTTGTCTTGCATGTGACCGACCCGGGTTTGATTCCCAGCATCCCATGTGGTCCCCCGAGCACCTCCAGGAGTTATTCCTGAGTGCAAAGCCAGGAGTAACCCCTGAGCATCGCCAGATGTGACCCAAAAAGCAAAAAAATAAAAAGGTAGAGATCTCAACCTCCACGTCTCAGATATCTGAGAATAGAAATAGCTAAAAACATACTCATTATCATCCAACCCCAAATCTCTTATCTCCTAAATTTTGTGTCTCAGGTAGTAAGACTATTTCCAGCCATTATGTACCACTCTTTGCTGCTTTCTATTCAAAAACTAGCATTCCTATAGAACTGGAATATTACAGCACACTGTCCTTTACTAGCTGCAATTGAACCTAGATAACATCAATGTGTTATCTACCTTCCCACTAACCTGCTTTTCCACACAGAGACAAAAGCATAGAGATCTACCTATCCTCTGTGACCAACAGAATTTTCTATGTGGGAGTGATTCTTATCCTTACTTTGGAGCCCTTTCTTTTGAATACGTGGCAAAATCGGTGAGAGGCTAATGTGATCTATACATACTACTGCAGATTTTAAGCCAACTTTCCTTTTTGGTAATTCCTGTTAATGATCCCTGTCTAGTATGTATCCCTTATACAGTACTTCTACATCCCTGCATCTTTATTAAAACTATATACTTACTGAACCAAATGACAATATTATCATCAAAGCAATTTAAGTGAGCTTTAAACTTGTGTGTTTTCTATGACCAGAGCTGACAGTATAGATTGCCCTCTGAGAGAGCTACTATAATAGCTATTTTAAGCCTACACAAGTCCAGCTGATGATCTACCTCTCAATTTCATCACTTAGTCACTAGATTTTCCTGCTAGGCATGGTTTCCAATTTTCTTGTACACAGTGGGAAAATAGACTTCAGAGTTTTGACTATTTCCCCTCTGCTGAGTGTTACCCTGTCTCCTCCAATCTCTGACATTTTACCTAGACTCATCTTCAAGACATAAACATTGGTGTCATTTTCTCTCTCATTCTGCTCACTGAATGAAAAGAAGAACACTGCATGTGTTTGCTTGGGTGTGCTCTTCCTTCCTTATATTGCTGGCATTCACTCATCAAAGTCCTTATTACCTCAGCCTGCAAGGAGCTTCCTATGGGTTGAGTAATGTATCTTCAAACTCTTCTCTTTTTCAACACTTAGCACAAAATTATGCCACATTAATCCTGAAATACTCCCCTACAAAACAAAATTTCTCTTGATGCACACTGTTTCAGTCTAATTTACTTCTTAAGTTCTGAGATCTTAATAACTATATGGTCTTACTTCCGTATGGCAGTCAAAAGTCAATGGGGCCAGAAAGATAGTATGCTTGTCCTGCATGCAGTTCAACTCCCAGAACTGCCTGTGGCCCCAGAAGCACCACAAGGAGTGACCCTTGAGCACAAAGCCAGGAGTAGGTCCAGAACACTACTCAACGTAGCACCTCTCCCCCCCCCTCAAAAAATAGTCAGATCACCTATGTTCAAATCCTATTTAAAATCTGTCATAAGAAAGTCAACATCTCTATACTTCATATTTCAAAAAGCTGGAAATAATATTAGTGCATCCTGGATACAGTTGCTTTAAGAAATAGGGAACTACAGGCCAGAGAGATAATACAGCAGGTAAAGTGCTTGCCCTGCACTCAGTGAACTCAGGTTTGATCCCAATGTCATATATGATCTGAGTCACACCTGGAGTACAGATCCAAGAGTAAAACCTGAGCAGGGAGGGGTGGAGAGTGGAGAGGAAAAAAAAAAGAAGGAAGGAGGGAATGGAGGGAGGGAAGGAGGGAGGGTGCTAGGGCATTTTGAATAATATCTCTCCTGTGGCAGTTGTTATTATTATAGAGCTGCAGGACAATTCACAGGACCAGTAAAACTACCTGCTACTTCAGTTATAGGTAGAATACTATTATTTTGTCCGTGTAGCTTTCAAATAATACCCCAAGGGAAAAGAAATTCACAAAATTTACTCTTTTTTTTAAGAAAACATCTATTTGTGAAATCTATTATCCAATACTTGTGTGACCCATTCTGACACTTTTTCTAATGGCTTAGAGCCTGGAACTGTCTCAAGGAGTAGCAGAGTATAAGTATAGACTTTGGAGTTGTCTAAACCTATGTCTGTTCTAACATTTGCAAAATGTATCACTAGTCTCTCTGCAGGTCTTGGGTAAAATCAGAACAGAAGCACTTACCTCTTTTTTAAGAATTGATAACATGGCTAGAGAGATGGCTCAATGGGATGAATGCAGGAAAAGCATGTTTCTATAACTAGGTTTTGATCCTCAGCACTGAATGTTCATCCTATGTCCCCCTCACCCCAACCCTCCAGTACCACCAGGACAACCCCTGAGCAGAAAGACAGAACTAGTCCCCAGTATCAGTTTGTGATACAAAAATCAATATAACAACAATAATAATGATGACGGTGGTGGCTGACAATAGTAACAGCTTATGGTCAGTGGAACTCTTAATAAACATTTGTTTATGGCTGCTGTCATTACTTTTTACTACATGATACCTGGGCTGGGGCGATAGCACAGGTAGGGCATTTACCTTGCATGCAGCCGGCCTGGCCGAGCCCGGCCGAGCTGGGTTAGATTCCGCCGCCCCTCTCGGAGAGCCCGGCAAGCTACCAAGAGTATCTGGCCCTCACGGCAAAGCCTGGCAAGTTACCCATGATGTATTCAATATGCCAAACACAGTAACAACAAGTCTCATGATAGAGACGTTACTGGGCCTGCTCGAGCAAATTGATGAACAACAGAAGGACAGTGCTACAGTGCAGTGCTACATGGTACCTAATCTATAGCCAGGTACAATATGATCATAATTAAATAATAGAGTGGTTTGTGTTGTTTCCAAAACAAAATGTGTTCCAATGTACATCTTGGATATGAAAATTGTACATCTTCAAGTAGCAGGGAGGTGAGTGTAAAACATAACTAGGACAAAGAACCCCTAATTGAGGGAGTGAAATAGGTCTGGAAGCAGGAGTGTCAGGCATTCAAAGCTCCTAAAAGATAACTAGAGAAAAGAGAACTGAACATTTTGTCAAGATCAGCTCTCTCACCTTTCTTTCTGGGACAGGTCCTGGCTGGTGGAATGTACTTGAGATTACCTTACAAATGGTATTTTTGCTGTTGTTTTCCTTAAAGACAAATCACAACCAATATGAATTCCTATGTTCCCACTGTGCTCTAAAAACATGGATCCACAAGTACTCTCTCTGGATTGACTTGAGTCATCAAGTCAATAGATTAATTCCCAAGAAAACTATTTGGGTATCTAGTGACTGGTGAGAAAATTTTTATTATAAAAAAAAACAGAAGGAGGGGGTTAAAAAAATAATGAATGAAAAAGCAATGAATAAGTCTTTTTCCAAAGTTCCCTTCTATTACATAATATTTTAATAACAGTTTTGCATCAACCCTTTGCATATTATTTCTCTTTAATTGGAATTTATGATTTCAGTTTCAGTGAATTACCACAACCCTAAATATATCAAAAAAAGATCTACAAATATTTTTGGCATGCTCAAGGAAGACTGTGTGTTTTTATAGCACACTCTCCTTAAACAGGACTATTTGTCATTCTTTGAAACACTAAGACATAAAAAAGAAAAGACTCTGACTCTGTGTGTGGCCACACTACTTTGCTTAATGCACTAAATGCAAGGTTTCTTAGGGAAAAAATCAAGAAGTTTCTGCTTCATTGATAATCTGACAGTAACTATTTATTGAAGGTAAAATACTTGTTGTCTGCTGTCACTATTTGTTTTAATACATAATCTTGCTAACTAAATGAGCTTAAAGCAATGCAGATAAGCAAAGGCATGTACAGGGTCACTTAAATGCCAGTTTGACTCTTTCATAAACTTTGGAATTCTTTTCCCATGAGCCTATCCTCAGCTACTAAATCGTGAGTAATATCCATTTACAAAGTTTAGGCTGGCCATAAAAAGGTTGTCTTCTATGTCCAGCACACCTTTCATTGCCCTAAGCAACAACAAAAGCTAATAATTAAAGCTTCTTTAAGCCTCCATAAAGAGTTAAATGACAAAGAATCTAGAATAAACCAACCCATAAAAACCTAGTGGTGAAATAAGCAGAAAATCTGTTTCAGCACTATATAAATGGCAAAAGATAAATTATAAATTGCATTTGAACACTACAATTCAAATTGTATTTGCACCCCTGAAAAAAATCAGAAGATAACTGAAATATAAAATGATAATAAAGAAAATAAGATCATTGAAACTACCAAATCAATTATCTCTCTGGTCCCATCAAGAATTATTTTCATTTTAACCACTGTATTATAAAATGAAGCATTGGTGAAACCCAAGAATGAAAGAATTGTGGAGCACTGCCTAACTGAACTATTTGCTATCAACTCCTCCTGTAAAAAGATTTAATTAACTTAGATTGTGCATAGGAATTTCTAAATATTAAATTTTCAGTTTGCAAATTGTACTGAAACCCTGACAAAGTTCAGTGGTATATAGACATAAGACTACTTGTTTAGTGCCTGACACTGCTCTACAGGCTGAGTACAATTTTGGCCACACTGCATTTGGGACACCAGGTGCCACAACAAAGTTTGCAATCTCTATCACTCTGTAAGTAAGTGTATGTGAACACCACAACTGAGATGTGCAAACCCCAGCAAAGTTCCAAGTATGTAACCAAGTGTGTGACCACCCCCTCCTCATTGCAACAACAATAACAAATGGGAAAAAGGGGGAAATATTAATAATAATAAAATTAACTGAAAATGTAAAATGCATTCTAAGTCATCAGCACTACTGAAAAGTGTGTCTTCAGACAGTAACATTTGTATTTAGAAGAGTTACCTTTTTACTCGTAGTTTCTTACGTCTCAGGAATTTTAAAGACTTGAGTCTTTTCTCTTCTGAAATTTCTAATTTAGCTCTTCTGATATGCTTAATTTCTTTTCCTCTAATTTGCAACAATTCTAATGATTTTTCCTTTAAAAGAATATAAAATGTATTTTAAAAATTTTAACCCAACATACTTTCTCTCAAATTTAATGTTTCCTCTTTTATCTAAACTCCTGATTTCCATACAATTTTATAATACAAATTCCATTTTTTCTATAAATTTTTCCTATAAATTCATTCCTAAATTTTATATATATACCTTCATAGCAACAAAAATTATCAGACCATAATTATTCATAAAATTTTATTCTTTGCTTAAAAGTAACATAGGACATTAGCTCTTTCTCCACATAAATCTACTTATTTGGATTGGTGTTTTTAATATAATTTGCTCTTAGTCTCAACATTTTGGTAATACTGATAATTGGAAACACAAGTCAAAATGAACTTTAATATAACTTTTAAAGCAATATTTATTAATTTATACTTACAGCTTACTATTCTCTATTTTTGCCATCTAGGGGGAAAAGAATAGTTTGTGTCATAATAATTACCTTTTCTTCATTGTAAACATTGATTTCAAGGATTTCTTCCCAAAATGTGCATAATTATGGCAGTAGCTCATTTAATGATATTTCTCTCTGTGGGTTACCCCATATTTGTGGGGAAGAGACCACACCTAGTAGTGCTCTAGCTCTGCACACAGGAGTCACTACTGGACCATATGGGATGCCAGGGATTGAACCTGGATTGGAGATGTGCAAGGCAAGCGCCCTACTCCATATTTTTAACAGGGACAACCCCCAACAAGGTGCTGGGGCCAGAGGATGCTCCTGGGAATAGTCAATATGATGGTCAATACTTGGCCAGAAATGTATGTTACTCCAGCAATAGGGCTGGAGGGTTATTAAGCAGCAGTGCTGGGGAGGCTGATATGGTGCTGGGGATCAAATTCAGTATCTAGCACGGAAAAGGCATGTGCTCTACAACATGAACTTTCTCAAAAAACTTCACTTCAGTTTTTGAAGACTATTTAAGGAAGAAAACAGTGGGAGTTCCTTATGAAAAACAGAAATCTGTGACCAAGGAGGAAAGACAGATAAATGGAAGTTCATTTTTTCTTTCTTTTCCCTCAGGATTGTGATAATGGAGTGCTTGCTCTCTCTCTCGGTCTCTCTCTCTCTCCCTCTCTCTCCTCTCTTTATAACTCTCTTTTCTTCTTTCTCTTTATTTCTCTCTTCCACACACACACATTTATGGTACTCAAATACTGGAGGTATGGAGACGGTTATGGCATTTCAGGTGTCATACACTAGCTGCAGTGCTCGACACTCAGTCAAAGTGCTCATCAAAGGTCACCCTTCGATGATGGTGCATACTCCAGCGCCAGGAATCTCAGGCAGCCGAGCTGCCAAACACAAACATGGCCAGTATCATACACACATCAGCACTGGGGAGCTAACTTGCTTGCCTTGCACATTTGTTCATAGAGTACTTCTCTAAGCTGCTGAGCTATCCTTTCAAACCTTGAAAACTTAAAACTTAGTATGTAAAAGGTAGTATTAAGGAGTGAGTTATTACAATTATTAGATAAGTGCTGATGATAAAGAAAGCTCATAATACAGAGTATTCTATCTCAGTGTCTAATTAATATTTAAATTTTTCCACAATCTCTGTCATTCATATTAACATGAATATTATCAGAGAGAATCTGGATACATTCAGAGCTAGTCACTTTGCCTTTGAAATTTCAAGTGTACTCTACCAAACGTAAAACCATACATACATTTGTCCCAAATGAATTTTGTCACAGGTAAAAATCAAAAAAACATCTTATGAGAAATTACTGGCAATTCAAATCAGTAACCTTTCCATATTCTTACCAAAATTATTGGGAAATATGCTAAATTAGACATAATCTTATGGAATTCTACCAGGGATTTTGTTGACTGTCCATCTTTCTTAATTTAAGAACCCATCTAACAATTTAATGGACCACAACTCATTCTACCAAACTCTCAATGGCGGCCAGAGTACAGTAGGTAGAGTAGGTAGGCACTTGCTTTGCACACAGCTGACCCAGATTCAATCCCTGGCATCTCATATGGTTCCCTGAGTACCACTAGGAGTTATTTCTGAGCACAGAGCTAGGAGAAACCCCTGAGCATTTCCAGGTGTGGCCCAAAACCCCAAAATAATAATAATAATAATAATAATAATAATAATAATAACAATAATAATGATTTTTAAATAAAAATACTCTCATTAGGAGGCCTCCATAAATCCATTGCTGAAATATAAGGAAAATAATAAAAGCTAACATTTACTGACTTTTCTCATACGCAGAGAGCTTTACCATGATATTCTTGTGAAGAACTTCAAACTTGACACTTTCCTAATGTTCAGTCTAACAACTCTGGAAAAGGAAATATGTTGGTTTTCCACAGTTTGTCCTTAGAAAACATACTGGTTTCAGATGACTACAATATACTTTTATAATGACTCAAAAATATCCTTTTACTAATTCAGTAATCATTTTAAGTTTTACTCAAGGATCAACGCACACAGTACAGAAGCCACAGGCCTGACCCTTAAAGAAATTCAAACTCTAATTCCCAGGGCTTCTAGCTTCCCCTCCCATTTCAGCAACACCTCAAAGCTACCTCTGACAGGGACACAAGCTGAAGCTATCTCTCTCAGCCAACAGGCTCAGATATCTAAGTTACTTCTTCAAATCTTACAAATCTTGGGCTTCAGGTTTCTTTTATCGATTCTTTCTCTCTCCTTTTCAAACTAAAGATCATTCTCCTTGCCAGATTTAAGAGAAGAAAACTACCAGTTTATCAGCTTCCTTTACTCTTTGTCATAATGCTGTTTATTTAAAACTCAACCCTTTTCCAAAAAAATTAAGGCAGCTCTGTCATCTGTTTTCATCACACTATTCATCCATAATGACAGGGTTATCCTTCCTTTTTTCTCTCTTTGCTCTAAAACTAACATTTAAAAAAAGCACTGTTTTTATTCTTAACGTTATTCACAGGCCTCAACCCATTCTGGATCTTAGCCTTCTTGATATAATTGTTGTGGCCACATGCCACTTTTATGTTTATCTATGGATATATATTTCTTCTTTCATCTTTTATATATTTTTTAAACTCTAAATGCAATATATCACTTACAGTTTTTTTTTGTGAGAATTTAGGGGAAATTGTGGCATCCTATATCTCAAACTTTCATTTTGAATATTAGAAAATCTTACATATAATTTTATAGATTTTTGTTTTTTCTGGGGGGCCTCATGCAGTGGATCTCAGGGCTTACTCCTGACTACATTCAGGGATCACTCCTGGAGTATCTTGGGAACCATATGTGGTGCTTGGAATCAAATACAGATTGGCTGCTTGCAAGGCAAGTACCTGCTGTACTCTTTCTGGCTCCTATTTTCATAGATTTTTCTATGCATATTTTTATTTTTTTATATTTATTTATTTTTTAATAGTGAAGCACCATGAGGTACAGTTGTAGACTTACACATTTTTGTGCTTGGGTTTCGATTATACAATGATCAAACACCCATCCCTCCACCAGTGCACATTTCCCACCACCACGGATCCCAGCATCCCCTCCCCCCCAGCCCCTATCCCACCCTGCCTCTGTGGCAGGGCATTTCCCTCTCTCTCCTTTTGAGTGCCATGGTCGGCAAAAGAGGCACTGAGTGGCAATCATGCTTGGTCGACAGCCTACCCTCAGCATGCTCTCCCATCATGGGCGGATCCTCCCAACACCCTTTATTTGGTGTTCCTTTCTCTTTCTGAGCTCCCCCTTCCCCTAACATGTGTGGTTGTCCTCCGGGTCATTGAGTAAAATTCCTGGTACTAATCTCTGCCATACTTGGGTGTTAGTTTCCTATTTTGTTACTTTATGTTCCCCAGATGAATGCAATCTTTCTATGTCTATCCCTTTCTTTCTGAGTCATTTCACTTAACATGATACTTTCCATGTAGTACCACTTGTATGTAAACTTCATGACTTCGTCTTTTCTAACAGCTACATAGTACTCCATTGTGTAAATGTGCCAGAGTTTCTTCAACCAGTCATCTGTTCTCGGGCACTCAGGTTTTTTCCAGATTCTGGCTATTGTAAAGAGTGCTGCAATAAACAGACAATTGCAGATGTCACTTCAGCTATGCTTTTTTGCCTCTCTGGGATATATTCCCAGGAGTGGTATTGATGGGTCAAATGGGAGCTTAATTTCTAGTTTTTTGAGAATCATCCATACTGTTTTCCAGAAGGGCTGAATCAGTCGGCATTCCCACCAACAGTGAAGCAGTGTCCCTTTCTCACCACATCCGCGCCAGCACCGGTTACTTTTGTTCTTGTGGATATGGGCCAGTCTCTGTGGTGTGAGGTGATACCTCATTGTGGTTTTGATCTGCATCTCCCTGATGATTAATGATGTGGAACATTTTCTCATGTGTCTTTTAGCCATTCGGATTTCTTCTTTGTCAAAGTTTCTATTCATTTCATCTCCCCATTTTTTGATGGGGTTGAATGTTTTCTTTTTGTGGCGTTGAACCAGTATTTTGTATATCCTTGAAATTAACCCCTTATCAGATGTGTAGTTGGCGAATATCCTTTCCCATTCAGTTGACTGTCTTTGTTTTTTGGTCACTGTTTCTTTTGAGGTGCAGAAGCTTCTTAGTTTAAGATAGTCCCATTTATCTATCTCTGTTTTCACTTGCTTGGCCAGCGGTGTGACATCTTTGAAGACACTATTAGCTTCTATGTCATGAAGGGTTTTGCCAACATTTTCCTCAATGTATCTTATAGATTCCGGTCTGATGTTGAGGTCTTTAATCCACTTAGATCTTACTTTTGTACATGGAGTTAGGCAGAGATCTGAGCCCATTTTTTTGCATATAGCCGTCCAGTTTTGCCAGCATAATTTGTTAAAGAGGCTTTCCCTGCTCCACTTCACTTTTCTTGCCCCCTTATCGAAGATTAGATGCTCGTATACTTGGGGGGGGGGGGGGGAACGTCAGTATATTCAACCCTGTTCCATTGGTCTATAGCTCTGCCTTTGTTCC